ACAAACACACCCGCCCACAACACACATGCACACAAAAGAGACAGTCAAGGCTGTGTCTCACATCTTGTGATCAATGTGCGAGGGGTCTGCGCTGGTGCCACAAAACAAATTCCTGACATTCTGGGATAATTCAAACGTTTCACGGCACAGTTTTTGCACCCATGAGAGGCAGCTCTCGGGAATGGAAAATGCCACCATGTCATGGCAGTCTCTCCCCATTGTCTCTCTCTTTAATCAGTGCTCTTCTGTGGCTCTAAATATCCCTGTGGTGTGCATCTACGCCTGGGAAAAAGCAGCTCTTTGCCCCGCTCGGTGCCGAAGCATGCCATCAAACCACACTGTCTGCCTCCTTGCATGTGATGACAGGAAAATTTTCACTTGCATGCTTCAATCTTTATATGTATAGGAGCACCTAGGATGTCTGAGAATGGCACAAAACATAAAGTCTCCCGCCATATTTATGACACATCCAGAAACGCTGAATCAAAAGCACTTATTTTGGTTCTTTTAGTCTCCATCTTGAAGCATGAGTTTATTTGAGCGTTTGATTCTAGGTTGTTTAACTTTACAATATTTGGAAAACATATATAGGAGTTACAAGGATGAATAGAGTTTAATGCCTTATAGTCAAGTCACCTTTTTTATTTATATAGCACTTTGTACAATAGTGTCAAAGCAGCTTTACAGTGTTAAGCAGGAAAATAGTAAACAGTAGACACAGATTATCATACATACATAAGTCATAATATAATACTTTTGTTCTCTCATTTTGTTTTATTGACAGAACTAGGGAGTAGGTAATATAATAGTTGACCTAAAAAGAAAATTATGTCATTATTATATTTTATAATAATTTATATTATTATATTGTTCCAATCCTATTCTGTTCCATTAATTTTACATTTTTATTTAGTTTGTTTTATTTTATTTATTTATTTTTTGAAGATTTTATGTAATCATACAGCAGTATTCATAGTGACCACTGACCAGGAGATGTCAAACTCCAAAAATGGCAGTACTATTCAAAAGTTTTTTTTTTAAGTTTTTGAAGGAAGTGTTATATTATTATAAATAAGAGAGTCTGGGAAGTCTCTTATTTATTTGATCACAACCCTAGTAAAAAAGTAATATATTTAAAATACATTTATTTCATAATAAGTATAGTTAAAATCTATTAATATATTTACTGACATATCGCTCGAGACTTACTGATATAAAAATATAATTAAGCATAATTAATATAAAAATTATAATTATTTGGAGTACTACTGTGCACAATGCACATTTCTTATTATTAAGCCTAAAATGTGTTTTAATGTCACTATTGATGAGGATTGTATGATCTTTGAATAATATCATTTTTTAAATGCATGATATTTAAAGTGTACCTAAAGTATACTTGCAATAGTTCCACTTCAGCACAATCAAATATACTTAAGTATATCTTTAGTTGGATTTCAGCACTACTCCCACACAATTAAAGTGCATCAAGTACAAAATAAGTTGTTCCAATTTAGCAGACTTTAAGTGTACCATTAGTATATCAAATGTACAATTGCAGGGTGTTTTTATTAAGTACATAAATATGCCAATGTATTTATACTTAGCATGAAATAAATGTATTTCAAATACATTTCAGTATATTTATTTTTCACTAGGGAAGTACTATAAAAACGGTAACATTATAAAATACTATTATGATTTTAAAAAACTGTTTTCCATTTTAATATACTTTAAAACGTAATTTATTCCTGTGATGGCAAGCTGGGGCCCGTTTCAATAATGAGGTTCAACAAACTCTGAGTTAAAACTTGAACTCTGAGTTAACTCACCCTGAGATGGGAACGCTGCGGTTTCGGTTTAAGAACAGCTGATTTGAGTTAGTTCACTCTGAGTAGGTTGACTCAGTGCACCAAGGCTATGAAAAAAACTGTTTTCCATTTTAATATACTTTAAAACGTAATTTATTCCTGTGATGGCAAGCTGGGGCCCGTTTCAATAATGAGGTTCAACAAACTCTGAGTTAAAACTTGAACTCTGAGTTAACTCACCCTGAGATGGGAACGCTGCGGTTTTGGTTTAAGAACAGCTGATTTGAGTTAGTTCACTCTGAGTAGGTTGACTCTGAGTGCACCAAGGCTATGAAAAGCCATGATCAATGAAGCTCCGAAATTACGATTCACCATGGCAACAGCATCCGACAAAAAGGTGCTTTTTTTGTCATACTTCCAGAATTAATGCAGCCTCTTCATTTACAGGATCCTATATAAAAGGACATGAGATTTTTGTCACTTTGATGGTGTCTGCATGATGAAAATACGCGCAATGAATGAATGTACCTGCACTGCTAAAACAATAAGAAACAAATCTACACTGTCATTTTTCTTATATAGAAATGCATGTTGATTTAAGAATTTTTCGATATTTGTACTTGAAGTAAGTAAAAAATTTGCAGTAAGAAAAGCATTTTTGCAGCGTGAATGAATAAGGTATTTTAACATCGCTTACACTTTAAAAAGGGGGAGGAGAAACTCTGGGTTTACTGAAGAAAATCTGCTCCCGACCAGGGGCTCGTTTCCCAAAAGCATTGTTAGCTAAATATGGTCGCAAGTTCCATTGAACTCAATTGGTAACGACGAAACTTGCGACCATGGTTGCTTTTGGGAAACGCATCCCAGGTTAGATTCACAGAGTAAGTTACCATGGTAACTGACTCTGAGAATAAGTTACCTGTCTTTCAGAAATGGGCATGACTTACATGCTTTCTCGGGTTTGACATACCGCTCATTCTGAAACAGAAAACCCAGAGTTTCCCTCATTTCAGGGTTAACATACTCAGAGTTTTTACTTAATCTCCTTTCTGAAACAGGCCTCTGATTTTTCAGCAGCCATATTTATGAAACAGCACATTGTCTTTTTGCTAAAGATGACAGGAAAATATTCACTTGCATCCTCCAGTCTTAATATATATCCTAATAAGGAATACCTTATGAGATCTGAGAATGGCAAAAAAAAAAAAGCTGAATCAAAAGCACTCATTTTGGTTGTTTTGGGGGACACTCCAACTTGAAACCTGAGCATTTGATTCAAGGTAGTTTCAAGTTTACAGGATTCGGGGACAACACACTCTGGTTTGTATATAGGAATTATAAGGGTGAATAGAGTTTTATGAGGTGCTATAAATTTCTTTTTCAAAAGAGGGTGTATGGCGACTTAAGTCCACTCGCCTACCCTGCGGTTTAGAGGGGCCACCATGAAGCCTTTGTGCTCTGTGGCTTTACCATGGGAAAATTCTGCAAACAAATAACTCACCCGGTGACCCATCAGTGTTAAAAATCACTTTTGTGTGCTGTGGATTGTGATGCATGGGTGCGGTGCAGCCTGAAGGAACTGCATGCTTGTTTTATCTTGGTCCAAATGTTAAAAAACAGCTATTTTGGGGCTAAAGAGAGCAAACAAACACACATTCCATTGCAGACAATGGGGGTAGGCACATGAGCTGGCAGTAGGGGCTTGTTAGGATATGGGCATTGTGAAGACATCAGTCGTCACTCAGAACGGGATCTATTTCAGAGCAGATGTGAGTTTGTCATCTTGCCCCCACAATGGTGGTCAACCACTACTCTGAAAAATAAACTACTTCTCGTGAAAGTGCTGTTCATCACCTTGTCATCTGTGTAACAGCGGTGTAAATGTGCACTTGTTGAAACTCTCGGCAGTGCCAACTGTTTCAGGGATTTTGCTCCCTCATCTGGTGATAGTGTTTATTGCACTTTCTTCGTTGCCTTGTTATTTTTTGCCTGTTTTGTCATAGTATAGTAATGATATGGAGGGGATAAAGAGCATAAATAATTTAATATTGCTTTTCTTTATGGGACAGTAAAGAAAGACAGGAAAGTTGCGGAACAGGATCCAAGTGAGTTAGCAAATCTTTTAAGTCATGAGTACATTGACTCATACAGTCAGCACTTTTGGCACCATGAATATCCCAATCACAGTACACTGTATACACACTGTAAAACTGGTGTATGCAATATTAACTCATCTATAGAGAGTCCAAATCAAATGTGATGGTGATGGTGACATTAATAACATGCTTGGCAATGTTCTTTTGGACCACACTAACTTACATGGACAAAGACATTGTTTAATTAAATATCTACTTTCGCAGTCATACAGGTTTGAAACAACATGAGGAATTTTTTTATTTTTGAGTGAACATTTCCTTTAAAATATTAAGTTCTGCCTTGACAGACATATATTAGACCACATCAATCGAGCAGAGAGAAAAGTTACTGTAAAAAAAGTAATCTAAAAAATGTTACTGTACTACTATCTAGCTACTTCTCTCTCTCTCTCTCTCTCTCACACACGAAGACATGAACAGGCATAAAACAGGTGAGACAGGGTGTAGGCTAGATGATTACTGAACACTTTTGATCATCGACTACAGTCTTGTGACCATACTGCCACCTCAGTGAATTAGTTACTGATGAGAGAAAACACTTGTCATTAACTATAAAAGTTAATGCTTAAAAAAAAAAAAAAAATCTGTAGGCTATTACCTACATTCACCTTTCATTTTTCATTGAATTTAATCTAATATTGCTTTAATCAAGAAATGATTCAAGAAAAAAGTTTTTTAAACTATAGCCAGCATGGGGGGGTCTTTAACCCTGACCAGGGTGCGAACTACGGGGGAGCTAGAGGGAGCTCGGCTCCCCTTAATAAGACATGGGCTCCCCTGAAAACGGGATTTGTGAAATTTTGGGGGGTCTCAAAACATATTGACAATGTGTTATTTTGACGTGCATTTTCAGTTTTGTGTAATGTGATCATCATGGATTATTATTATATAAAATGGCAAAACACCCCCCCCACGTTATAAAAAAAAAAAAAAAAGTGGGCTCCCCCAAAGTCCACTGACCCTGACCATTACTTAACCTAACTTAATTTAACCTAAGTTCATTATGTGGGAACATAGGACCCTGGGGACATAGGAACAGGGCTGCTAACTGCATATCCCGTTCGAACTCACTCGCGCTGTCTCTCTCGCGTTGAATTTTTGGCAATAGTGCTTCGACAAGTGTACACCAGTGAACGAATGGCCGACATCCGACGCAGTACACTATATAGGGAATAGGGAGCGATTTCTAACACCCCGCCCGCTGCTATGGCAGCGAAAGGAAGTACGTAGGAATCAGGAAGGAGTCAATCAGGGAGACATTTTTAAAAGACCACCATGAAGAGCAAACAAACAGACACCTAAATGTAAGTATAAACGAATGAGGTTTTTTTTCGAGGTTAATAGTAATTTTGTTAAAAGCTGTTTCGAGTGCGCTGGATTTGTTACGATGCAGTGGGCTTTTTTTTCTTCTTATTGCTCGCTGCTGCTTCCTATAATTCGCTCATCACTAAATTCATTGCTGTGTGAAACATAACGATTGTCATAATCGCATTTTTGTTTTTCATAAATTATAACCACTTATATGTAGCGCGAGTTCGATTTGGTTTTGATACTATTGTGACAGTGATATATTCCACCTTAAATGTTTGTATGGTCTGCATGAATTAACAATTTGGCATTGGTAGGCTATATAGTCCATATATAATCTTAATGTGGCCAGACTTCTGAAATGGAAACTGGTCAAAATACTATTGAAATCTCACTTACAGTTGTGGTCAAAATGTTACATTTTGCAGTAGACCTAGCCTATCTGCAAAATGTTATTTGTTTTTCCAGAATAAGAGGGATCATGCAAAATGCATGTTATTTTTAATTAGCACTGACCTGAAAAAGATATATCACATAAGAAGAGAAAATAATAGTTGACTTTATAAAAATGACCCCGTTCAAAAGTTTACATATGCTTGATGATTTTTAATGCAGTGTTGTTACCGGGATGATCCACAGCTGTTTTTATTTATTTATTTTGTTTTTTTGTTGATTTTGTGATTTTGTTTGTCCTGAACAGTTAAACTGTTCTTCAGAAAAATCCTTCAGGTCCCACAAATTCTTTGGTTTTCCAGCATCTTTTGTGTATTTGAACCCTTTTCAACAGTGACTGTATGATTTTGAGATCCATCTTTTCACACTGAAGACAACTGAGGGACTCATGCGCAACTATTACAAAAGGTTCAAATGCTCACTGATGCTCTAAAACAGGGGTGTCAAACTCAATTCCTGGAGGGCCGGAGCCCTGCAGAGTTTAGATTCAACCCTAATTAAACACCTACGTGATCCAACTGATCCGGCCCTCCAGGAATTTAAATTGACCCTGCTCTAAAAGGAAAAACAGTGCATTAAGTGTGAACAGAAACTTTTGAACAGAATAAAGATGTGTACATTTTTCTTATTTTGCCTAAATCATATTTTTTCATTTAGTTCTGGCCTTCAGAAGCTACAGAAGATACTTGGATGTTTCTCAGAAGACAAAATAAGCTCAGTTTACCCGGATCTTCAATTTCAAAAAGTTTACACCCCTGGCTCTTAAAGCATAGTTTTTCCTTCTGGAGCATCAGTGACCGTTTGAACCTTCTGTAATAGTTGCGTATGAGTCCCTCAGTTGTCCTCAGTGTGAGAAGATGGATCTCAAAATCATACAGTCATTGTTGAAAAGGGTTCAAATACGCAAAAGGTGCTGGAAAACCAAAGAATTTGTGGGACCTGAAGGATTTTTCTGATGAACAGCGGCTGTTCAGGACATACAAGGGACTCATGACTCACGGAGGAAAAAAAAACAACAACAAAAAAACAGCTGTGGATCATCCAGGTAACAACACAGTATTAAGAATCAAGCATGTAAACTTTTGAACGGGGTAATTTTTTATAAATTCAACTCTTATTTTCACTTGTGGACTATTTGTAAACGTCTTTTATGTGAAATATCTTATTCAGGTCAGTACTAAATAAAAAATGACATGCATTTTTTATGATCCCTCTTATTTTGGTAAAATAATAAACATTTTGCAGATACTGCCTTTTTTTATATCTTTGTGAAGGTTATAGCAGTTTGAGAATATGGAATTATTTCATAGCATGGCTTTCTCGTGATCATCGATTCATTCGTTCACCTCTGTTCTTCCAGAGAAACGCATGGCAGTAATACAGTGAATATGGAGGTTCCTTCCTACCTGTCCCGGCTCTTGTCTGAGCTGAATGAACAGCGTAAGAGGGTCTTCTTCTGTGACTGCAGCATCATAGTAGAGGGACGTGTTTTTAAAGCACATCGTAATATTCTCTTCGCCAGCAGTGGTTATTTTCGGGGACTGCTGGTGCATTACCTGCAGGACAATGGCCAGCGACACAGCACGGCCTCTCTGGACATCGTCACAGCTGAGGCGTTCTCCTTCATCCTAGACTTTCTGTATTCGGGTCGCCTGGACCTGCGCAGCAACAATGTCATTGAAATAATGTCAGCTGCGAGCTACCTTCAGATGACAGACGTGGTGAACTTTTGCAAGGGCTACATCAAATCCTCCCTGGAGATCTGTAACAGGGAGAGGGATAGACATAAGGACTTGGATGATAGTGAAAACCCAGTTTCAGCCACTAGTGCTCCTGTGGCATCCACTTCCGATGCCGACCAAAGGACCTGTCAGGTCACCGAGGCCCTCAGCCCTGATGACGCCCCAACGGCTGCTGTCTGCACGCCAGCGGCCACCAGTAGTAAAGACTCCGAAGGCGAAAACTCCCAAGGAGCTTTTCCCAACCATCCTCCCATGAATGCTCCACTGAAGATCAGTCCAGGCCCAGATTTAGTCAACTCATCCACCCCAGGTTTGCTTCTAGGTTTGGTGCATCCCAAAATAGAGTATGACCCTGATGAGGAGGGCGAATCTTCACGGGAATCCAAAGACACCACTCTTTATCAAGGCCCAAATCAGGACGAGGAGAGAACTGTTAACACTAGCCCAGCTCCAAGTACTGAGCACTCCTCCGTATCATTTGCTAACTGCCCGATGAAGCAGTTTCCAGATGTGCTGTTCAGAGCCGGGATGAACCCAAACCGTGATGAACACTTTTCCCAAAGTTTGGGGTACGTTGGTAGATTCGGCCGTGGCGACGATGTGCTCGGTCCTGCGGTGCATTGTGGGATGGAGATTCAGAATGACTGGTATGGGGATGATCCAGGTGAGAGATGCTGAATAAAATTGCTACAGTAGAACAATCGCTGTGTCCAAAATCGCATACTGCATAATAGTTACTACATTTAGTTTGAAACTTGCTTCAGGAATGTTAAAAAAAAGTATATTCTATATAGTATTAATGTGTGTAGTAGGAATGAAATTCGGATGTACTACATGCATGTTTTCATGCTGTGTGACCTCTGGCATCAGTTGCGTCACTTGACTGTCATTCATAAATCCTCTCCCGTGGCCTCATGGGATAGTATTTCACATGCACACTTCAGAATCTCACAGAAAGTAGTAAGTCATCCGGGAACATTTTAGGTACTGTTTTATGTATACTATGAATTCGGACATACTACTTGGTTCACATACTGTTTTTCTTCTGCTGTATGTATGGAATTATGGAAGTTGGCATATTCAGATGCAGAGAATCGTTTTTGAATTGTGTTGTAATATACGTGTGTGTTTCTATAGGGAGGCTGCACAAATGTCCGTTCTGCCCATACACGGCCAAACAGAAGGGCATTTTGAAGAGGCACATCCGCTGCCACACAGGAGAAAGGCCGTATCCTTGTGAGGTCTGCGGCAAACGTTTCACACGACAAGAACATCTGCGCACTCATGCCATTTCCGTAAGTCTTCATAACTTATATAAATATAACTTAATATTACATAACTTAAAATATCTGAATGTGTTGCTGTAGAGCAGCAAAAGGTAAATTGTTTGCTTGTGAGGTTAATGTTTAACTGCATTAAAAGTATTGCACTCATTTAACCCAACTTGCTATAAGTCAGTTTGTTTTTGTTCTTCAGAGACAAGATGAAATAAGAACATGAGCAAGAGTCAGTGTTAAATACACAGTAATCATGTTGCTGTACTTACCTTTTTTAATCTGTTTTACCTGTTTTAAACTTATCATCAAACGAACCATAATGATATAAAAAAAGTGAAAAAAAAATATATATATTCAATTTTTTGATGGAACATCATAAAATGCATTAAACATTACATTAAACCAGGGTTTCCCAAACTGGGCATAATGTAAGAACTGCAGTGGGTTTGTGAGTTGATAAAAAGCTAATAATTAATTAAACCATAAAAATGTAAAATAAAAATTATTTAAACCCTTGAACACTAGGCTAAACATAGAAATATTTTATTTCTTTACCATTATCCATCAGAGCCCATTATCCATCAGAGAACTGTAAACTTGCAAATGTGTTGTTAAATTATTGAAATAATAACTTCCTCAGAGATATTTCAAGTAAATATTTTAAGGGGTTTGTTGACAAAACCGAATTTGGGAATCCCTGCATTATATGAACAAATATCAATGAACATGAAAACAATGACATTACACAGCTAAAGTCTCCCAGATTTGAAATATTTTTTTCCAGACTTCATTATTTGTTTCATACTTGGTCTAATTGCTTGAGAGATGCTATTTTCCATCAAATTCAGAAGCATGGTTTGCGGATTTATTTATACGACATTTGTGAATATAGTCAAAGCTAAATGGTATAACACAGTAGAATTTTTAGAAAGGAAATTTTAAAAGAGAAAAAAGAATTCGGGAGAATCAATAAATTATGAATAATTCACTGCCATTTTGTGAATAATATGTAATCATGTAATCCATAAAAAGTAACCGTAATAGGATTACGATCATTTTAAAATATAAAATACTCTAATTACAAGTACTTAATTTTTGGAATCTGATTACGTAATCCAGGTTACATGTAATCAGTTACTACCCAGCAATGATATCCAACTTTAAATATATCACTGGCTGATAATATAGTTTAAATTGTGACAATGCACTATATAAGATGGCATTGCATTGGTCAGAATTTTTGTGTATTACAGTTATTGTTGTATTACAGTTGTTATAGTGAGTGCATTAACAATGTCATAACATTCTTTTTTTATTATTCTTTTATTTATATGATTGAATTGTTAATTGAAGAATCCTCCATTTGCAGCAATCAAAGTTTTACAGACCTTTGGCAAAGAATTTTACAATTGCTTACATTTAAAATAAAGTATAAAGTATGTTATTTTTATATTTATATAATTAATATCAAAGTCCCTTTATGGCAAATCATGTCACTCGGCAGCCATCTTTGAAACACCTCTCGGGCATGCAAGTGCAGCTCCTATCTCTTTGAATTGGGAAACATCAAATTCTGCAAAACTGTTCACCAAGCTTACGATTACATTTCATATTTGAAATCACCAATGAAATCTAAAAACGACTGTCTTATAAATGTTGTTTCTTTTGCTCAAATAGCGTTAAAAAATGCTTATTATTAAGACTAGAGCAGCCAGTGCTTGATGACTTCATAGAATGACTTCACAGATTTTAGCGATTGGCTCTTCTCTCGGGGAAGTCGTGGCCTAATGGTTAGAGAGTCGGACTCATAACCCAAAGGTTGTGGGTTCGAGTCTCGTACTGGCAGGGATTGTAGGTGGGGGGAGTGAATGTACAGCGCTCTCTCCCACCTTCAATACC